AGAAGTGACCTCAGCTGATGGTCTGTGCTTTAAACAGCAAATACACTGGGGAGAGCTGCATGTATGAAAGTCATCTGAGAAATCGTGCAACTCTCTTTTCAATACATAATAAAAATGAGTTTATATTTTTATAGATAAAAGTAACTAGCTGTTACGTTTAAGATTGTACTCATAATATAAACCCATCTCTTCAAAGTTTAAAAAAAAAAAACAAAACATAAAATCAATATTTTGGGCAGACAGATTACAAATGAGGGAGCTGAAGAAATACTCAGTGGAAGATTTCTGTTTACTTCCAAGCATTAGTGAATTTAATTTAACGTGTATATAAAAAAAATGGTACAATTATCTAGAAAGAGCAGCTTCCTAAATGGGTTGGCTGAGAGCCCATGACTTGGCATCTTCTTTGTAATCTGATAGCCAGAAATGAACAAGAGATGCCAGACCAAGAAGAATTTGTTGCTGTAGCACTTTATTACATGCCACGCTTGGGAAACAGTGGCTGTTACTGAAAACGCACTGATGTCAACGGAAAGCTCATGCCAAGGGGTTCGGTACCGTGCCCGGACGTGACAGTTTACATCGCTACCAGAGACTGCTTCAGCGTCTTTGAATGATTAAGCGTTTGGCCTCTTTATAATGACAAAGGCTGCTGACATTAATACAACTGTATTGTTGCAGGGACCTGCCAAGAAGATGGGGTTTGTTTATAAATAAAGGAACGATTAGGCCTGCCCCTTCTCCAGGCCTTCAGGCAGAGCCAGAGTTGTACAGTCGTTGTCATGGAAGTGACCTACGACCTAACCTGGAAGCACTACCAATTAACAAGCTCCTGCCTATATAAACAGTCAGGCAGAGCTAGGAGCTTAGTGTTCTTCCTCCCTACTGGCCAGTCTCAAGCCCCGTTTGCTGCATTTTTAATCTGTGGCTTTCTTGGTTGTCACTCTGTTAAGTCTTTGACCTGAACCAAAGTATGTCACATGGATGTGAACTGGAAGTAACTCTTAAATGAAAAACATTTAACTAGAAAAAAGGGGGCAGGTTTGTGCTGTGGCCATGCAAACTAGGCAAGTAAATCTGTGCTCTTTAAATTTCCCTCAAGATTAAATGAAATAAAGCGCTTCTCATTTTTAGGTCAAGGCACCACAATATTTCTTTATGCTAAAGCCTCCTGAAGTTGGAATTGGATGAAAGCTCCTATTTTACATGAGGCCTTTTTCAGAAATGTATGAAATCTGATTTTCCCACTTTCTGGGGAAATGCACATCTTTGAAAGCTAAAAATATTAAGATAAACTGAGCTAAACTAAGATCCTTATAAGATGATCATTAAACTCACAAATTATTTGATGAGTAGAAAGAGTAATTTTACATTGAGTACAAATCTAGCGTTTCATCCAGAGAAGAATGGCTTCTGTCAAAATGTTAATTTATTGAAACAACCACAAACTACAGTCTCCTGCAAACAAACATTTTTATTTTATTTATATACACAATGTATATATATATGTATGTATGTATATATAAGCAGATATTATTACACTGAATTGCATCAGTTGCTGGACTGTTTCTTCACACACATACTGTGTACACACAGACACATGCACACACACACATATATATGTGCATAATTAAAAACACAGAAATAAAGTTTTAAATTCTGAATAGATGCTGAATTTTACCTCTTCTAAATGCATTCACATAACAATATTACAATGGCAGTTACATGCAAACAAATGTACACAATAGATTAATTAATAAGCAAGTATGCAAATAGATTAGAGTTATTTCAGGACAGGATATATTATTAGGATACTATAGTTTACACATTTTGAATTTGGGTGCACTGTATATTGATGTGTATTTATAATTTGCAAACCGTTTACAGGGTTCTGCCTGATTGATATGTTAAGATCTACCCCAGTCAACAGTCTTTTAAGCAATAATCCTTCATTGGGCTTGTGACTGCACTACAGGCCTCTCCTCACCACTTTCACCATCAGTTCTCACCTGCCAATAGGGTTTGATGAGCTTGCTTATATGCTGGTGGGGTCCTGTGGACGGCCAGCAGACATAGTCAGCAATCAAAGCGCTCCTAATGACAAGGACAGCAACATGTGTCAGACATCTTTCAATCAGGATGCAACATCCATGCCCAGAGGAAGGGGTGAGAGACTGCACTCTCAGCATTTTCAGCCCAGAAGGGTTAGCTCACTGCTGGAACATCTATGTTACCATTGTAGATGCTTGTACTCTTTTCTTACTTTAATATAGGGTAATGCATATATATGGAACGAAAAAAAAAACCTAAGGTGCTACCTAGAAAATCTGAAGTGTGCCTTTGCATGTAGAAGCATAGCTTGTTTTGTCATCCCTAAAATGTTGCGCTAAATATATCCACCCGTGCATTTTCAGCTGGTGAAATCTTAAGATTTACATTGCCTATACAGTCAGTCTGAAAAAGATAAATACATTTTAATGTGATCCCAGCCTGCTTCGTTTCATTTTCTTTTGCACATGTACAAATTTACATGATCTTCAGAATAATCTGATGATAGACATAGTTACATCCATTGCTAAATCAGTCCACAATATTATACATGTTAAGAAAATGACCTTGTCAGACACTCTCTGTGTGTCATACATTCTCTCTGCAGGTGTCCCACATGTATCAGTACAGGGTCCTATGTCACCTGCTATCTTGTCTTTTGTAGATGACACTGCCGGTTTTTCCCCTGTCTCTTCACTCATACACTAGATGTCAGTAGGTCAGATATGGACTAAGTGTCACTGAAAACTCAACTTGACTTCCCTTGATGGGGTTCGCCCTGCAAAAAAATCTCTCTTTAGCCTTTGCGATTCCCCTTAGGATGAAATTCTCCAACCTCCAGGACAACTGACTCTGGTCCCCCCTCATTAACTGCCCAGAAATATTTTATTTGTATTTTTCTACCTAAATATAAATGTTTTGTACATTCTTAAAGATTTTGTATATCCTTGTAAAATTGTGTGTACTACCTAGATGCATGGAATCACGAATGTGGAACAGATCTTCCTCTGATTAAGTAAAGCATCTTCTAACATATTAAATATAAATTTGGGGCAGGGTTCGGTGTGTGCCATCTGTTGTAGCTGATTCACATGCCCTAATCTCATCCCAAAGTACAGTAAGTCCCCAAGATACGAACCAGTTCCATTCCGAGAATGGGTCGAGAAGTTCGCAAGTCCAACAAAGTTAGCCTAGGTATCTAGCTGATGACACCCCAACCCCCATCCTTCAGCTCCCATCGAAAACATGAAAACATACAGCTATTTGTACATAAGAAAATGCTTTTAAAAGTTACTATTTTTATTTTTTTGTTATAAATTTGTGGTGTTATTTAGCAAGAAACAACTGAGAGTTTTTTTTTATTTCCATTGTTTTCCATGTCGTTGTTTATCATTATCGGGCTAGTCTACACTACACATGCACACCTAAATTACCTCTCTCTCCTCAAGTCCAATCAGAAACATTTACATAAGAAAATGTTTTTAAAAGTTAATATTTGTATGTTGCTAGCCTATGTTAACATAAGCGAGCCTATGTTACTATACCAATAATAAATATGCACACCCACTGATCTCTCCTTCCCCCAACCCTGTGGCTTCTTCATGAGATTGGAGGAGATTGAGGGGTGAATGTGAACTTGATATTTGATTGTATAATTCCACACATCAACATACAACTTTCTGTAGAAGATTAACATGATTTTTTAATAAACAAAAACAAAGCTGACTGCTATTCCCATTAATTATAGCACCTGTGTAACACTACAAAAAGTGCCAAATGATGCAGATTTATCCTTCAATCCATATTTTTCAGTAGCATGCAGTATAAAAGCTAACAGCAGCTGATAATTATACAACATCCCAGCTCTCTGAGGAAGGCAATGGAAACCAGATGTGCTGGAATTGCACAAATTGTACAAATAATTTAAAAACTCTTCAAGGCCTTCATATTACTGCATATTTCTTGTGTTTTTGTGATCTGCTTTCTGCGCTGCATTGTTGACGATTGTAGCCTGAAAAATAAATCACTTTTATTCCGACGTTGACAGCCAATATGACAAAGTTAAATTCAATATGCAGTCAGGGAGCGGAGTTAATTTTAAAGTTCTTGTTATTTCTCTTGCTCTGGCCACATGGGGGTGTACAACAATAAGATATGTCAAAGGCAAAGGGGGAAAAAGCAAAAGCCATGTCAAGGAGAAAGATTTCCAAGCTGGGAACCTCATATCAAGATAATAATGAGCCTGACATCACAGGCCTTTTTGTGACTGCCAAGTGAAAAGTGTCATTAGGGTGGCGTGTGCAGACTTTAGAAAGTGACAGACTATTATGGAGGCAAAAAAAAAGGCATGTGGGAATATAGAGCCCGAGCAGTACTGTGAAGTCACATGACTCGTTTACATCAACGCTACGGACACGGCATTACGCTCAGCTGCTGAAGGTGAGATTCTGACCGACTCGTCATACTGACGCTACATGCCGAAGGCAACAGCATGTTCCGTGGCCATGAAACGGTGGCAGAAAATGGCAGAAGAGCAATTTGTCCAGCCTGCTTGTTCAGCCCAGCAAACTGCAGATTAGCTTTGCTTTTCCCCCACCGTGATCCCTGCTACTGTCAGCTTGACAGAAATGCCTTAGTCCTGTGCAGCACTCACTAAGTAACACTTGGGTTCTCTGGAAATGTAAGGTCTATGCTGAGCAAATGAAATTTGAGTGCAGTGGACCTTTTGAAATCCCCTTCTTAAAACATAAAATTGGAGTAACAAAATGCTGATTTTTCATAAATACAAAATGATGCATTTTAGAACATCCTGCATAGAACTCTGCATTTAATATTTATCTGAGCTACTGAGATCTCTTTATGTGCTTATGTCTATAATGCTAGCCTCAGAATTATCTGCTCATTGCTGAAAAATACAGTAACATGATGTGTTCTCTCTCCCTCCATTATAGCCACCCCAAGGTGATGTGAAAAACGTTAACTATCTTGTAAACATGACAAATATCAAGGTCTGGGATATTTGGATGGTAAGTTAACATTTGATACCCATAGTTGAATGCGGAACAAATGGCCAGAGACCTGAGTGACTTTGGTAAGGACCAAATCGTTAGCCAGACAGCTGGGTCAGAGCATCTCCGAAACGGCAAGGCCTGTGGAGCGTTCCCCGTCAGCCATGGTGAGTATCTACTGAGAGTGCTTCAAGGAGGGGAAAACCATTATACATATATATATATATATATATATATATATTGGACAGCTAAGACTTTTCAATTCGAGATGTGAACGAAGGCTGTCCCATCTGTTACAAACCAACAGAAGGTTTTTTAATGACAGTCGTGGGAGCAATGTGCCACGACATACACTGCATCGAGCCCTGCTGTATGTGGGACTATGTAGCCTCTAACTGAACTTCTTAATTCAGGGCATCCCACAGATGTTTGTCCTGGCCGGGCACATGATGCAACAGGACCAGCTGACCTTCTTCCATTTGTGCGAGGTCCATTTCTAACACTTACTTGCCCATTGTCAGCACTTTTGACAGTGGACAGGGATTATCATGGGTACTCTGACTGTGATTTGTGCCACAGTAGTATTTCCATTGATTTGTATCAGACAGATAGCCTTCATTCACATCTCTCATTGATGTGTCTCGGTTGCCCGATATCCTGTCAGCGGTACATGATTTTTCCATTCTCTGACCATTTTTAGTAGGTACTCACCACGGCTAACCTTGAGCACCCCACTGGACTTGTAATTCCGGAGAAGCTCTCATCCACTCTTCTGGCCATAACAATTTGGCCCTTGTCAAAGTCACTTAGGCCTTTACCCCTGACCATTTCAACACATCAACCATGAGTCAATGGTCAATGCTGTTCCCTTCGTGTGGGTGTGGTCATAACATTTTGGCTCATTAGTGTATCAGAAGATATTTTTTTGAAGATTTGTGTCATCCAGCTCCATCAAATAACGCTGCCAGTTAGTGAATTGATGACCTCAACTGAAGCTATAGGGTTACTAACAATATCATTAACTAGGTAAACAACATTTTTAACGAAAGTAGGGTTACACCGAGTAAGAAAAGTATGGAAACAGGCTGGTTATTTCAATTATGATCTATGATAATAATTACATTTGTGTGAGAAGGTCCAGGTGATTTGAATTGCATATAACATCCCAGAAAGCGATTCAGCATCCCATTACCCACAAATGAATCGCACGTTTAACTAAATTTTGCATGCATGGGGTTCATTTCATCCAGTTACTTTTTTAGTGGTGAATTGGTTATTCTACATTACCCTGTTTGTGTCAGTGCACAAGAGTCTAGGGCGTTCATTCTCTTCCCCGTATGTGAAATATAAGATTGAAGGTAACAAGTAGTTTCTGAAGTTGGATGCATGTATTACATGTATTGATTAGAGACTGGATACCTTCCTGTTGCAGTGGGAACTGTGAAATAATTTTCTTTAATCTCAGTAGGTAAGAATGTATAAGAATGTGATGAAAAGTAAAAGAAAACCATTCAGTGTTAAGTTTTCTATGCTAATTTTAAAGGATATTTGTATTTCTGGACAAATTGGTACAATATGAAGTATTGCACACAAAAGTGTTTTCATCCTGTCTGCAAACAGTTCTGTACAACAGCGTCCCACCACTTGCCAGTGTGCAGTTTCATTAATTACTGTGAGGTTGCTTGTCATCCCACGCTTAAATACACAGGCACATTTTGCTAATGAATCTGTCCACGGCATTTTTCACCAAAAATAAAAGCCTGGCAAATTAACTGCATGTTAAAGCTATCCTAGCACGGGCTGGCTTAATTCAATAGACCTTGACACGTTGGCTTTGATTAGCCAGAGGAATTGCCCGTCCGAGTTTTAACTCTGAGCATGTAAAGTTTGACTTTCCTATACTGGTGAGTGGGCCTCAGTTTTCTCCTTGTCCATATTCACTGTATAATTCACCAGCTTGATACATTTCCGCTATTGAGTTCCATCCGCATTAACCTATAAAAGCAATTGGTTTGCCTGTCTGACATTAAACTATTCACTAGCAGGTCTCCGGTGCAGCGTTGCAACAATCCATATATTATTAGAGATCTCTGAAAACTTTGTAGAGGCTTAAACACTCAAACTCTGTATAGAAGGAAAGATACTGTATGATACTTAGTCAACAGAAAGAAGAAACACTACAGTCTGAGCAGGTGAGAATCTGAAATTTTCCAAACATTTAGACTTGAAGACACTTCCAGTACATAATTTCAGATTTGAATGCACAGGAGATTTATGATAACTCTAAAATATTCCATACAACACATCAAGTTCCACTATGGTATCAAGTCATATCGAGTGGAAACCATCCATATACAGGTATACAGTGTAATGAAATAATGTTCTCCCAGGACTATGGTGCAGTGTGCAAATAGAAAATGCCAAGGAGAGGATTTTCACGGTACTTAAGTAAGTGATGTTTGTGGCAAGCTGCTATATCCTAATAAAAACCCAATATTGAGAACCTTATGTCATACTGTAACGTAGGCCTGTTAGATGTAATATTTTTTAACCAAATCTGACAAATATGAAAGATTCACCAAAGATTTAACTGTCACTTACTCCTTATGCTGACAAACAGCTGTCTTACTAAACAGCTTATCGCGTCTTTGACATGAAGTTGTGTTAAAGTAACAAGATACATCACATACATCAGAAAACTGAAATGCTCAATCGAAAACGGTCATGTTCCTCATTTTCGCTTTCAGATGAGGCTCTGTAATGTACCCTGTGTTTGCAATTTTGGATCAAGCTACAGCACAATGCGCAACTTTGAGTTTAATAATGTCACCCTCCCGTTCAGAAGAGCACAGAGATTGGTTAGATCACCATCACTGAAATGGTGCACACTCTCTTTCAAATAACATTGCTATTAATGTTTTCGTAGTACATCCTTCTTTTATGGGAAACCATGTTTCATGTTCTTCTGAAGTGTGGCTCTTAAACTGTTAATTGCCAACTGGCACAATTAGCAGAATACGAATAGCTGCTATAAAGTGACACAAATAATTGCAACAATTAATCATGGTTTACTAATTAAACAGTCAATATTGAGTTAATCCTGTATTTTTGGCATAACTTATTTTTCACTTAAAAAATTACTATTTAAATAACTTTAAACTGGGATGCTTTTTGCAGATAAATTTTATGCAATGTCTCTGGCATAGCCATAATAGACAGTGAGTAATTATGTGGAAAATAAAACTGTCGACTATATTATGACCAGTCATGTATGAAAGGATTTAATTTTATTAAAAACTTTTTTTAATTGACCGTGTGGAATTATTAGATAGTTTCCTCACCTTCAAAAGCACTGAGGCTTTATTTACATACATGCATACCAATTATATGTGTACTATGATATGGAAGAGTGTAAATTATTAAAATATGATTAATTTTCATGTGCAGTGAGGCAATCGTAAAATCTCTTTGTGTGTCCTGTGAGAAACAGTGTAATGAGACAGATAAGTCAGACAGGGGGGATATATATGATGTAATAAGCACACTGCCATCAGGCTTAAAGTTTAAATGGACTCTCTAAGCAGGGGGGTACCCTGCCCCTTTAAAATGTTTCAAAAATGAAAAAAAAAACAAAAAAAAACAGGTAGAGTCATTAGATTGTAGCTGTCTAGCTGGTTTGCAGTACGTGCTACTAATCAGTAATGCATTTATTTCATATTTAGTGCAGTGGCTATTTGTGGCCAGCAGGGGTCTCAAACTTTGGGGGCCCCACGCAAATGCATAGTGGGATGAAAACACCACTGCTGTGCCTAAGAAGTGCTGCTCTGGACTGGCGCAAGGCGGCCCTGCATTTAGCAGGACTCTGATCAAATTCCACCTTCAACTGGATTTTCTTGAAAGCTGTTTCCTGTGAAATACACTGAGACAGGCAGTACAGCAGTGAAATACATTCCAGCCAGACACTCATCACGCAGCCAGAAATATAAAAATGTGGTGTAATCCCTGTGGGATTTAGCCAGCAAAACGCTTCAGCTGCTTTGTGCATATTCTTTCGGAAACATGAACGAGCTAAACCCGAAAATTTTCAACTTAGCATATATTTACATTTTTTTTTTCCCGTTTCCTTCCCACAGATTTTTTGTAAAAGAATACAAAGCTTTTTCTAAGGTATGACGCTCAGTCATTTATATATATCAAAAGCACAAGCAGAAAAGTTGACAATTAATGTGGATTTTATAATAATGCAGCTTTATTATAAAATCTGGAACTTAATAATAGAGTAAATGTTCATGTATGACTTGTTATTCATTACAATTCTATGTGTGTTACAGTGGAGCCTGACACAGGAAGGAAGAGATGATCCACATACTGACTCCAGCAAACAGAAAGACTTTATTAAACTCAGAAAAACACACTAAACCAAAAGACCACAAGGGGTAAAAACAAAACAGGTAAATGACAAGACTACGGCAGGGGCAACACAGGACAACTGTAATAGTACAGCAGCAAACACAGGCAACAACAGCTACAGCACACAACAACAAACACAATGACCATCTAAAGAGTAAAGCAAGGGCTGGCACTTAAATACACAGGTAATCAAGTGCGACAAGAAATGGGTAGGAACAGTTAACAATCACTAGAGAACAAGAACACCAAGGAACAGGTGTGGGCAATCACGGACCAAAGGTAGACTAGAACAACAAGGGTAACTAAACATTACTACAAGCAGTGAAATACAGAAAAACACCATCACAGGACTAACTCCCCCAAAAAAACACAAAACCATTAAAGCATTGTTGAGGATGCCTCAAACCTACAACAAAAAGGGAGCCTCTAAACCCAGTTGCTCACAATATCCATTAAGCCATGCAGTGGGCTGGAGAACAGAGGAACACACAAGGAACTAAGAAGGGGATAGCCAAATGTAGAACTGTTATACACGGGGAAAGATCCTGACAATGTGTTTTTCAAGAAATTCCTTATATGCATCATATACCTGCATCACATATACCTGCATCACATTTTCACCAATGTTTTTCCTACACCACAGAATTTTCCTGCTGTCAGAGAAAAGCTGTCATATTTGAACATTTGTTAATTACAGTTACACATTCTAATGTATAATTTATACAACCAGAGATACTTGGTGAATGATCGTTTTTTATCATTAGTCATGTTTATTAACATTTGCTGAAATTGGCTATTTCTTTTGAAATTATACATATTTAATGTTCCCTTTCCTGTTGTTAATTTTTAATTACCACAACTAATCATGTACAGTAACGCTGGGCTTTTTTCCACATTTGCATTTTATTTATGGGAAAAGAGTTGAATGCCTGTGAAAAAAAAAAACATATGCACATAGCCACTTTATTAGGTACATCTGCTCATTAATGCAAAAGCCTACTCCTCCACTAAGAGAATCAGGTGCCTGCAAAATGATACAGTACAGCATTTAGACAGAGTCAAGAGATTCGGTTACTGTGAGACGGATGATCTAAGTGATTTTGAATGTGGTGTGATTCTTAGTGCCAAATGTGGTGCCAGCGACTCAGACACAAGCATCATCCTGTCAGGCATTACAGCATCCAGGGTTTACAGAGAATGATGCAATAGACAAAAGGCATCCAGTCCGAGGTAGTTCTGTGGGCAAACATAACTTAAGAGTGGTCAGAGGAGAATGGCCAGATTCGTTATTGGCCAACAGGAAGGCCACAAGTACACAAATAATTGCTGCAAAGAGTGGTATACGGAAAGGCATCTTTGAATACATCGTTCGTCAACCCTTGAAGCAGTTCTGGAGATAACGAAGGTTCCTACCTAGTGGTACCTAATAAAGTGGCCATTGAGTGTGTATCACAAAATGTTCCACAATATAAGCAGCTGTATCCAGAATGAGCAAATTCACACTGCAGAGAAAGTCATGTAAGAAATAATAAACATGTTTTGTAAACTTCACCGCATTACTTAAACATCTTTGCCCAGGGCTCAGAGACAATAACCTAAGAAAACATTACAAAATAACTTATTTCCACCCAAGTTAAGGCAACCAATGCAGCAACAAAATGGTACTAAACCAAATGAGTAAGTTTTGCATAAATATCCAGCAAAACATATTCTTGTACGCTTCTCCCTGGAAAGTCACTTTGTATCCTGCTGAAAAGAATTCTTAAAATTATTATATCATATCCAGGAAAAAATAAAAAAATAAAAATAATGATCCGAAGAGTGCCGGTAGAGGAGTGTGAAATGCATTTCTCAACAGAGATCCAAAGAGGCTAAAGAGCAGAGAGATTGAAGCAATAAGAGATTGCAGCTACGGGCAGAACAGTGGTTAACAGAAGAGGATTTTATTTGAATTCGGTGAGTCACTGGGAGTGCACAGAAAATCTGAGGAATATGAGAGAAATAAGTGAGGTTTCCTCTGCTAGCCCTGAGCCAAGCTCTGCCTGCTGCCTTTGTTTCACTGCATTTCTACAGGCCTGTAATCAATTAGACCGGCCCTGAATTCACTCCGATTTGCCTTCTGGGTCTGATTTATTTTTACACTCTGATAAAGTAAGGTAGTATAATAAAAATGATTTCACCTTATCCAGATGAAAGAAAAGATTTCCCCAATGTGCAGGGCAACCATTCTCCTTTTTTATTTTGTGCCAATTATTTTTCATTTACTCACAGACCATAATTTCCATTGAAACTCTCATATATTGATATTATTATATACGCATAACCTGCTCATGACGTTTGTCACATTGTAATATTTTTTTTTTTAATGATTGTTTAAAAATGGATGGATTCTAAGAAGAAAATCAATTGCATATTGATTGCTTGATTTTTTAAGTATTTCAATGCAATCTAAAGAAGTTTTGTTCATGTTATATTTGGCCATATTATGTGAAATGTTTTTAACTGCTAATAATGATATATTTCTGTGACAGCATTCTCCTTTAAGCTATTTTAATGGACTGACATAGCCTAGTGATTAAACCAGTGTGAAGGGCACTCGGTAAATGTAGTGACATTGCAGGCACTAATTGATGGATATTCTTATTTTCTCAGATGACTGTTTCAACCTACCTTGATGGCCACTGGGCTTTTGAGATACGACTTTTGAGATACGACTTTTGAGAGGGAAGAAAAAAGTGAAGCAGAAAAAAATGACCTTTCACAAGCATAAGTGTTATTTGGACAACAAAACATTAATTTGAACAAACCTTGGTGAACTAATTACTTTGGATTAGCAACTTAATGTGACATTTTATAAAATAACTAACCATGCATATTATGGATGTACCTATGTCAAGACTATGTAAAGTAAAATACTATAACACTGCTTGGTTTTCTGCTATCAAAATTTTAAAAAGCATGCATTCTGAGAGAACAAAAATAATACCAGCTTGATGCTTCTTAGACTTGTTTGCTAATGTAATAGTATCTTTCTCCTTCAGATCTTTATTTACAATTGTAACCGTTAAAATGTTCAGATTCAATTTGGTGTGACGATTGTTTAGAAACGTTGCAAAACAGACGGGCTACAAATACTTTTTTCATGGCACTGTGCCCTCATTGACTTAATAGCATTATCTGCTCTATTTGAACGAACTAGCTGCATGTCATCACACGGCCCATAAAATTAAGCAACCGAGAAGCATCTTTTTCTGCTCTCGCTTACTTCTGAGAGTGATTAAGTGCTAAGTCAAGCCCCCTTGCTGTTTGGCAGTAGATGGCGAGTCATATGATTCGCCTTCATAATCAGAATCAAAGGATTCTCTCAGAACCGCTACTTTAGCTGAAAAAAAAAAAACGAGAAGCCAGTCTGCTTTCGTCTACTATGTCTTCCTGACCTCATCTTCCCGTAAACTTCATTATGTGGGCTTCCAAATGACATACACATAGGCTTAAATATGGAATATGCTGGAGTGATTGGGTTAATTAGCGCATTCTGTCATAAAATGCCCGCATCAGTGACTTAAACTGAAAATTGCAGCACTGGTCTGTTACAATGCATCATATGCTGTCAAATGCATTGTTAACTATTTTTTTCTCACTGCTAACATTTCTATTTGGATGACTTCGGAATTTGTTTGCTGAAATGTTAAGATGCTAATTCTTTATTATAATATATTCTTTTATTGGCTAGTCTTACAGATTTCTTTGAGTGAAGGCTCTTTCAGTGTTTTTGAGGGCCTTATTCTAAGCTGTTTCCAAGCTTGGCACCATAATAGCCCCAGGTCAATATGAAGAGCACAGTTTGCCTGTCTTTATGGCCTTATAATCGTGTCCATTCATATTAATCCCTGCTGCTTTACCCTATTGATAGCTCGCTAACAAGATAAAAACAAATGAAGTCAGATCATGCCTTTGCCAAAATGGATGAGGCTGGTATATCAGGTGCTCAATAATCCTTGCAAATCAGCACTGAAGGTCAGAATGCAAAAGCATTGGATTTTTAAGTGTCTTATTAGGTTTTAAGAACACAATCTTTATCACTGTAAAATGTATGTGTCTCACAAGCCACTTGTTGTGTGGGCCAAGAGTGTGGCATTATACTTAATGTTTTTTTTTTCTAAAACAGTGTCAATAATAGTAAGCTCAGATTTTTGATAATGATATAAATTTGCTTGTTTGTAACCATCCAGATTGTTTAAAGTTTAATGCATTAAACCTGGTGCCGCAGGCAAAACTACACTAAATGTGAGCAATTTACAAGTCTTGTCACACCGTACTATGGCAATTAGCCTTGGCTAATGTGTATGGACAGAGTGTGTTCACCTTTTATTTTTCTGCAGGTCATTAGTATTCTGTCCATTCCCCTGCTCGTGAGCAAGCCCCTTCCCCCTACACTTCTATATTAATATCAATATTTTAAACAATGGAATACGAGACGGAACAATTATTTTAAATTGAATCCTGTTTCTAATGAGCACATATAAGACTGATTTCATACTTGCGTGCGAATAGACTTTATAACTTCAACATTCTTCAAAGTTCGCACAAACCGTTCTCTTCCTGTTTCTGCTCAGGTCCTGTAAATAAACACAGGTGGCACAAAATTGAACACAAGAATGGAGTCATTCCAGGTAAATGCCGATCGTTTCTGAAATGGAGGGATAGGAAATATGGCCATCGGCGTGAACTGGGCGGTATGGCTGAGCCTTTCCTGCAAACTGCAGTGATCCAGTGGGAGTCGCAGTGAGACTCCTCTCCATTCCAGTGGCAGAAGGTTCAAACTGGGAGCAGGAACTGTCAGTGCCACAGTGCCAGGCCGCAGGGGACCGCCTCTACATATACACAAACGCACACTGGCAGCGTTATCCAAAATGTCAAACCAAGCAGTGACTCTTTCGGAAATGCTGCTGCACAAAGCGAAAGCGTTTGGGGAAAAAAAAATAACACATCATGGAAAAGGGAAACTGTTCTGTGAAACTATTATGACATCAGGACTCCCAAAAGGCCCTGTTGTTAGCACTTGAAACTGCTAGCCTAAGTATGTGCCTTTCAGCACAGCGTATAATAATCATGCAATTCGATGAAATTCAGAATTCTGTTGTAATTGCCATATTCCCCTCTAATTGCTTGAGAAACATAATAAATCTTTTATAAGTAAAACTGTAAGAATAAAATGATTGGCTGCAACATGTATATAAAATTGTAGGCATAAGCACAGAGTCTCCAATGATGATATGAACAAATAAACAGATTTTTTTTCTAATTATACCTAGGGGTATGTACAATTTTTACATTGTGAATTTATTTCTGAGAGGTATAACTAATTGAACACACAGGAAACTTTATGTGGGAAAAGTGATTTAACTATTGTGACAGACGGTGAATGGAAAAAAAACAGACAGGTGGCTTGATTACCTGCTGCTTGTCAAATTAATTGGATAGTAGCTATATAAAAAAGACGAGAATGATCTGTCAGCTTTGCAACTCGCCTCAAATATAAAATCGTCATGCAGGTTGTTCCTCAGGATCATAACTTAAATTTGATGCACCCAAATCTGCCAAAAAAAACCCCACTTTTTTCAATTTCACTATGTTGGTGAGAGAAAAGTTTTTAGCAAAAACACACACCATTTTTTCATCTAATGCAGACTCCCAAAAGTAGTTCAATCTATGTATCTAAACTTAGGATTTTGCTCAAGAAAACTTCAAGAATGCTACGAGTTTTGAACACTCGCCTGTCAACGGTTTTCTTGGGAAAAAAAAATAAAACAGTAAATAATAATACATTTCTTTATAAACTAAATAAATAAGGCACAACTGCGGCTAGATTTAATTTAAATAACAAGTACCTCCAGCGCTGCAGCGGAACGACTAGAAGCTATCACATATTTCTTCTGCCGGTAGTATGAGTCGGCATCTTTTAAGGCAACATCAAGCCATTTGTCAATTTGAGGCAGAGAGCTGAGATTAGGTCCAGTTGGAGGGCTCACTATTTCAGAGCCTTGACACATTAATTGTGGAGCCAGGGACTCTGTGGTTTTGTGTGTCATGTCTTGGTCGTCACCGTACACTAGCATCATCTCCACCTCCAGGAACAGACGGAATCTGGTCTGCAGGACAACTTCAGTTTAGTGCCCAAGCCGCACTTGTTTCTTGCTCGCTGATATTTCTTTTCTTAATCTTCCTTCTCTTTGGTGAGATTTCGCTGCCTCCTGGTGCTGATGATTCAGAACTGTCAGTCAAAACTTTTCAGTGTTCATGACAATGAAACACAGCATCTCCCTGCACCTGTCTTGGTCTCTGTGAAACAGAAGGATGTGAAATGGGTGTTCTTTGTTTTTTGAAACAGAAATACATACATGGGAATTCGGCACGACTGCCACAAAATGCACAATTACAGGATTGGAAGTGTCACTTTAAAATGGATGTTCTTTCAACCCTATAAAATAGCAGCTGTGTCTTTAAACAACTCACCCCTGCATCCTAGGCTCTGTTAAACAACTATTTCAGAAAAACACCACAGGAAAACTGTCCAGTAACATTGGTTTTTCCTCTATCAAACTGCAGCTCTTTGTGGAAGAATGATGCAAGAACAGCAACTGATCTTTGTGGGGCGCTTGATGGTGGCAATATTTGAAGTTGTTATTTCTTTGACCATTATTTGGCATTTCTGTGGGGAACACTGCTGAAAAGGGAATACACACACACACACACACACACACACACACACATACACATACATATATATGAAAAAATAACATATGTCTTGGCACTTGCTGCCTCTGTGAAATCTAGGAGACTGAGCAAACTATATAACTTTAACCTCATTTTTCACATATGAAGCACTGGTGTTAATGAGTGCCATGTTTTCAGCTGGGCTAAAATTATCACAAATTTCACAGGCTGCAATCTCAAGTATGCAAAACACTGGAGAAAGGAGCTGTACTCTGCTCGCTTCAGTGAAGAACCCGTGCTACAGTCTGGCACCCGATCTTACACGTTACGCTCAGGAACCCAAAACATCAAACAGGCAAGTACAAGTGGATTTATCCAGGATTTTATAAGTTTATATGTATTCTTTGTTTTGGCTGCACACATACTGAATAATAGATAATAAAATGCATATTTTATGGATGCTGTGTTCTGTACGGCTATAATAATTACAGATGTATTGTGTTTTGTTCTCGTTTATATATTTTAGTAGGAGAACATATTTACAGGTCATACTGACCACATCGAAGTGATGTTGAAAATATACTCGATAGATGATCCACCACATGCAAAGATCACAGAGAGCTACCTTTAAAAGATTTTTATGTCTTATTTACCATACATGATGAAAAACACTGTGCCTCTATGTATTCACAAAATAGCTACAGTACATAGGAGTTACTAGCTAGACGTACCTTCAGGGTGCTTTCTTTGAAAAGGCGAGATCTTACCGTCTGTGCCGGGTGCCTGAAACACAACACGCTGCCTTCGTGCACCAGCTGGGCCTGGTGTGCAGGGCTGTCGCTCGTCAGTGAGCTGAAAGGGGCCAGACTGCAGCGTGATTCCTATGTCCCACCTACATTTATAAGCGGCTAATTTATCCCTGGTGATGAGATCCCTAGAAGTAAAACTAGACATTCTACATTGAGAGGAAATGTGATATATGGCTGTTGACACATGAAGTTAATTAAAGTCTTAATAGACATTAAAAAAGACTCGATAGACACTAAAGACAATTCACTCAGCATACGTCGTCAGTGACGTGTTATCCTTGAAGGTGCGGATGCTTTTATTATTATTTTTTTAATACTGATGTGACCTCAGCAGTGCTAATTAGGCAGTCTGACTCTCAGCTGGATGACCGTGTAAGTTCGCAGCCTGTCGGTCCCTATAGTTTAAGAGGAAGGCCGAATGCACTCGGCCACATTGACAAGCAGCTCGCTATTTTTATAGACGTCACATAACGCAGCATGACACGCTACCACTGCGACAGCTGGGTGACAGATGTAACGTACTCCCTCTGTGGAGAGCAACGCTGCCATTTGTCTCTAGTGCAGGTATTTAACATTCAAACCACTCAAGATAAATTAATTTACTGCAAAATCAACTTTAAATTATACACACACGTCTTGCATTTGCAGCCTCGCAATCTTGCAACTTTAGCCCCCCTTGCCAGCCGCCCTCATAAATTTATTACCCTTTGAGAGAGATTCTCTCAACTAATTGTATTAACCCCCATAGCATTTTGTTGTTGTTTATTATGAAGTTGGTGGAACTGAAGTAAAAACTGGAATTGGGAGGGGTCTTTATCTCCTCTATACGTCAGATGACTGGTGCTAAATGGAATAAATAGAGCCATATACATTTGATTCCTGCCCTCTGACTCTCTGTGTGTGGAGTTTACATGATCTCTATGTGTTCCACAAGATTCTTCCAGTTTCCAAAACTGGCATAGTCAGTGACGTTGTGTGAAATGGGGTTCAGTGCCTTGCACCCTGTGATTCCTGGGATAGGTTCCAGGATTACAGTGAAACTGAGCTGGATTTGAAAGATGGATGGATGGATGGATCTATACATCAGATCATATGCATCAAATGTTGCATTAGTCAGTGTATAAGGTCCATCTATCACGCCCATATCTCTTGTGTGGACATCATGGTGGTTCGGTGGGCGGCATCACTGTTCTCAGATCTTCAGTGTTAGAGGCCTGAATGTCTCTAAATTACCCACAGTCTGTGATTATATGTGCATGACTCCTTGAAGGAATGGAATCCCATCCAGTATGCCCCCTGCCTTTGTGCCCTATGCGTACTGGGATACAGAAAACATGCTGTATTTTTTTTACAAAATAAGAAATGTTTTAATGAGTAACACCAAGTGCTGTGTTCTTTAAAGAATAAGAGATAAATTTATTCTTAGAGAATACTCAGCCTTGAATCTTCTTATGCAGTTAGGAAAAAAGATATATTACTTTCTACCTCATTAAAAAATACACAAGTAATTCAACTGAGGTTGATTCTGTTCAGCAATATTTCTCCCTGTTTTGAGCTACCCAAAATAGTGGTTTGGTAGGAGGGTATCTAAGGAGTGTGTGTGAGCAGCTTTAATATTTAATATCACGGCTGTGGATCAACGACCATGAGGTCCAAACAGAAGCCTTTCTAAGAACACAATTTCTCAAATGGACACTTCAATTAACCATAACTCAAAAAACACGTTAGGGGTTGTGGTCACATTGAAAACGTTATGCAGTCCAAATTCCAGGAGAACTCGACAGTCAGAACTACAAGCACTGTAATTTCACACCAGTGATATCTCGTGGGATACTGAAAAAATCTATATAATCTTTATAGATACATCTGAAATGTATCTATAAAGGATTTTGAATGAACTAAATCGATACATCCAGACAGAGAATAAGTGAGATTTTTATAGCTAATATAAAAATAAAGTTATTGTAGTTAAGTAATACTACTAAAATGTTAGTCTCATGTTTATCTCATTCTGCTCTTTGTCAAAATATCACTCCACCCATATCCATCCATCCATCCATCCATCTTCTAACTGCTACTCCTGCACTATCCATGCAATTTAATTCTCTTAAACCATCGTTTCGATTAATCTCTGAGGAATCAGTGGTTCCCAAGTTCAAAGTTTAGCCATACCCTGCCATTACATTCATTTACTGCCATTTTCAGGAACACGTTCTTCTAACAGTGTCACCCTTCATACAATCATTCTATTTCTGCTTCATCAGTAGTCAAAGGAACGCTGACGCTGTCAGTGCGGCTCTTTGCAGGCATTTTCACCATTTCCCAGGAGCCCCTGATGTCAGCGTAACACGTGTCAACCAATCGTGCGCCGAGACGGGCGTGGGGATGCAGTTTTAAACGAGGCGCACAGAGCAGATGGCCGAAGGAGAACGAAATGTAAAGACAGAAAAATGCACTTGTTGCGAGAGCTCGTCAGTGGCTCTCAGTGAGATGAGAGTGACTCATGTAAGAGGTCGAGCTGCGTTTCCTGTAGGGGAGGCAGAAGGAAGAGATGATGTAGTGACCAGGCTCACATGTTGTTTTACTGGTATTTAGCTTTTCGTTTTTGCGTTGTCTTGCAGCAGACTCTAATATGGTCTCAAGGTGACCGGTTCTTTTTTCTGTGATTGTAAATAAAACATAATAAAAAGTATGAAAGGGTGCACTTGTAGGAGGGCCCTTATTCACCTGGGTCCCTGGAATTGGCAGCCGACTGGACCTACATTCCATTCTTGTGCCGCTGCGGGCCAATAACAAGAGAGGAAGTGGCTGCAGCACCTGACAGCAAGACAGCACATTGGACGCTGCTGAACTGGACCCACCTCCAGATCTTCACCGTGATACGGTGCCCTGACCATGACTCACCTAACCAAATCTATATGTATCCAGCAAAGGAAATGTTTCAATATTTGGAGTGAAGGTAAGACTTTACTTGAGGGGGCACAAATAACTAATAAAGCTCATGCATGAAATACATGAACCATCAAGATTCATTACTGATGATCAAACATGGGATCAGCACATAACTAACACTTAGTTACTGGTTAATTCATATATTTTGTTAATTCATGCACAATATGTGGCCCCTCAAGTGAAGTATTAGTGTACTGAATTTACAAAATTTACTTGAAATCAGCCATTAAAATGCAACATTATTTAAAAAAATTAAAATTATGGATATGTGCTGTTCGCAGCATGTCTACTATCACTTAAAAAAAGATCAAATTAAATATTAGATCCATTCATAATTATCGTTATCATTGGTAGCCATTGGTAGAAAAAAGGATTTATATCCAATGCAAATAAGGTTTTACATTTACTATTTACATGCAGTAAATTAAATACTTTGCTGAAACGTACAGCAACAGCGCTCCAGTGTATTAGCTGTCTGAAAAAGAAATATCCAGTTTGCAGTGCGACATGTTGACAAGTCCTGCATATTTTATTCACTAATTTCACTTCTGACGCTGCCGTGCCCCGTGTTTTTGGTTCCATCAAGAAGCTCACAGGATTGCAGAGCTGCTTCGAAATAAGTGAAATTTAACGACTTCCATCTTAAGCCATTAAACCTCATCCCTGTGCTCTGTATATGCACTGTGCTCCTTCTGCCAAGAGCATATATCTCACACACTGCCATTACTGTAATGTTTTTACACTTGTACAAATATGCTCAGTCTAGGAGGCTGTATATTTGAAGTTACAGCATGACATATTTACCATATCAGAACAGTGCTTTCAGAGAGTGTTTTACATCATACCAGGTCTAGAATGTTCTTTTTACATCAGGTATTTATGTTTCATCACTCTCATGCGATATTAATGAGATCTTTATGACAAGTCTTGAGAACAAGTTAAATAAGAACAGGAACTTCTATCGAGGTGGACTATAAAGACATGGACTATAAAATGAGAGAGGTATGGGGAAAGTATTTTCCAGGGAATGCAGATGAAATAAATAATTTGGCCGTGTTAAGATGGTTCTCAACATGGCCCTATAAATCAAAATGGGATCAAATGGGGGAGTGGAAGGGGTACATTTTGGTGTCACCCAGTGGAGGAGGTTTCCTGGTTGACTGGTTCCCTAACAGGCTACTACAGCTGCGTTTCTATTTACAGTGACCTCACAGCCTCTTCAGACAGTTACTGAAGAAAAGGCAGAAATGCAAAAGAATCTTTGTTTTAAGTAACACCTTGATTGATGTATCAAAAAATTGTTAAAAACAGATTGAATTAGAAAAGACATATCCCATGAGACACATTTTTGTAGCCTCACACCTAAACAAGAATGTTTGCATAATGTTTTATTAAAGAAATATATAATTGATTTTTAAAGATCCATTATGATTCTCAAGACAACAAAGACTTAAAAAGAGCGTTCACTTGCATTTTGGCTCAGCTTAAGTACTGATGTGTTTGCTCAGTCACTGCTGCAATATTCATTTGGATACATATCAATAGTTAATTTGAAATAAACAGGCCGCTGCATTTCTATAAATGAGCTGGATTCTTGGGCAGATTTGGATGCCTGAACTTTAAAATTTATGTGATCTTTATTGCTGAACTTGAGAACTTTGAGAATATTGCACCTACAGTGTGTGTGTGTGTGTGTGTGTGGATATATATATATATATATATATATATATATATATATATATATATATATACATTTTTTTTAAAGAAAATTGATAATTGATGTTTGAATCCCTAACCCTAACTCTAAACCTCACACTCCGATAGTGCTAAATTGGATTAAATATGTCAGGTATTTCATACGGGGATCAATCACCTGGTATCTGGTTCATGGCTTAATAGACTTTGGTGGAGTGTTATGTCTGATTAGAAAACGTAACACAAGATCCCTGATCCTTACATGATGTAAGGATGATGGCTATTTTACAGGCCAGCTGCGGTGGGGGTTTAAATCCTGTCTCTGTTCTGCATGTGTGGAGTTTGCATGTTATCCCCATGTTTC